ATTCTGCAAGAAGCTTCGGAGAGAGCAAGAAAAGAGAGATGGGGAGGAGGAGATGAGAAGCGAGACCCACAGTGAAGAGGAGAGAGAGAGATGCGCTAGGAAGAGCTCAGAGCCCCTTGTGACCTCCTGGGCCATCCCAGAGGATAGCACCCTGCTGGTGGAGATGGACCTCAGCAGGCATGATTAGAAGCTGGTGGGGAGGGGCCAGCCCCGTGGCCGATGGTTAAGTTCGTGCACTCCGTTTCCTGCGGGCCAGGGTTTTGCTGGTTCGGATCCTGGGCACAGACATGGCACCACTCGTCAGGCCACGTTGAGGCGGCGTCCCACGTGCCACAACAAGAAGGACCTACAACTAAAAGTACACAACTATGTGCTGGGGGGATTTGGGGATCAAAAAGCAGAAGAAAAAAAAAAAGAAGATTGGCAACAGTTGTTAGCTCGGGTGCCAATCTTTAAAAAAAAAAAAAAAAGCTGGTGGGGACCTTTTAAAACCAGAGAAACTAGCAAGAGTGAGCTGGAACTACCACTTCAGAGAAGTCTGAACCAGCCAGACAAAAAGCAACAGAAGCCTTAAAGTGGTTACTTTGGCAACTATTGTCAAGGACTTCTTACTGCCTGACCACAAGCTTTCTCCATTACTTCTCTACCCTGTTTCATTGTTTTAAAACGTATTTTATTGGTTTTTTTCTCATCACAAAAGTTATACATGTTCATTTTGAAAAACTTAGAAAATCCAGGTAAACTCAAAGCAGCAGTTCAAAATCCCCTATAGCCCTACCATCAGGCAGAACCATGATTATTATTTTAGAATGTGTATACCTTTACATTATTCTTCTATGCCTATTGATATATTTTTGCTCTGTAATATTTTCCTGCATTTAATATATTGTAAACATCTTTCCATGTCTTTATCAGTTGGGATTGTGTTCTGGCAGAAGTAACAGCAAACCCTAATAACAGCTAACCATGTTAGTTAACAGCAAGCCCTAACCCAAACTAAGACTGGCTTAAACAAATAATAGGGGGTATTTTTCTCGTGTGACAGGAGTCTGGAATTGGGAGGTGCAGGCTGGTAAAACAGCTCAAGGACATCATCAAGGACACTCCAGCTCCTTAGCCTGCTGGGTGTTACCTCATGTCTCAAGGTGGTTCTTAGCTGTAAGAGAGGCTGAGAAGCAAGTATTCCATTTTTCTGGCCTCTCTAGTGTAGACAGGCGAAGGAGAAGGGTGTTGGGGAGGGGTGCTGAGTAAGCCAGCCAGTGGTGCCAAAGAGTCATTACATGTTCTTCTGTAATATTGCTCTCTTAAGCAGCTGCGTAGTTTAGATGTGCCATGATTTATTTAACTGTTCATTATTGTTCATCAGTTCAGTTGTTTTCCAGCTTTTCATTATTATAAATATGCTTATATCTGAAGTTTTATACATACCCGTAATTATTGCTTTAGTATAAAATTTCTAGGAGTACAATTAAGGTCAAAGAGTATATAAAATGTAAAGGCTTTTAATGTCTTTTTTTTTGTTTTTACCAAATTGCCGTCCAAAAAGATTTTACTAAATTACTGTCACCACCCGTGTTTAAAAGAGTACATTTCCCTGGGCTCTCAACGACAGGGTTTGTTTGCTTGTTTGTCATTAAGCTATTATCCTATGACCATTATGCAGATTTAACTTTGTCTGAGCCCTGACAGACTCTGAAGTGCCTAGCAGCCTCTGGGAACCCAGAGCAAGGGCCCTGAGAACCTCAGGCAGCCCCCGCCCTTCTCCACTGCTGCCTGGAGGTGCCGGTCTGCGGGTGTCCTGTGCTCCCAGGAGGCTGGTGTGGGTCGTCATCCTGACAGGCATTGCAGAGGACTCGTGATATTTCTGGTGAGCATGTACCTCACTCCTCTACCTTCATTTTGAAAGTCCTTCCTGCCACTGTGGAGTCATCATCTGTCCATCTTAGTCCTAATTCAAGGCCATCCTGGCTTGTCTGGGACTGAGGTGCACCTGGGATCTGGCCTCTTTTGAAACAACCCTCCCCACATCCTCACGGTTCACTCTGGCCTGATGTACCTGAGGTGAGGTAGCCTTACAGGCTAAATCATCTCTATGCACATAGTAGGTGCTGAAATATTCATGTGTGTAGGCGTATAATCACATGTGAACAAATGAGTGAATGATGAATCCAAGCAAGACTTGTGCTCAGTGCAGGAACATAGGCCAAATCCCAGTACCACGCCATCACTCCTCTAGGGAAAAGAAAATTCTGGAATTCTGATTCCAGGAAGGAAATGATGAGCATTCTATTTTGGTAGTCCCTTCAGGACCCTACCATGACCTCCAGAGAGGTGACACCCAAAGTGTGAGAAGTACTGTCTTAAGGAAGCTGAATCCTCTGTGAGCTTTCCTTATTGAGCACAGTTTGAAGATGTCAGTTATTATCGCCACGAGGGGAAAAGAAAGGAAGAGAAACTAACATTTATGAAGCACCTATTGTGAATCCAGCTAAAGCCAGGATCGTGATACCCCGGCCAGTCTCTACTGTCAAACGTCCAGCCCAGGGCTTCTCCCCATGTCCCTCACTTTTCCCCACTGCAGAATGCTGCCTCAATAAGATACCCACAAAATAAACCCCACACACAACCTACTGTATCTGATAACATTACAGTCCCCAATCGCCTTATTCCTACCCAATTACATTTTTACTGGCCCTATGTCAAAGACATCAAAATTCACTGTCAGAATTGCATTACCGACCTCCGACCAATAACCATAACTAACCCAGACTGACTAACATGGGGTTCTGTGGGGGCGCCCCGCTCAGGTTAGCTCTAACCTTCACGACAGTCCAGCAGCATGGGTATTTAAAAATTACTAGTAAAGTTGATCATTTTTCACATGTTTGTTAGTCACTTGTACTTCTTCCTCCATGAGTTGTCTGTTCAGAGCATCTGTGTTTTGCGTGTCTGTGAGCCACACACATTGTGATGTCGAAAAGGCATTTCTGTTTTTACAATGAAAAAGTAAGGCCCAGAGAGGCCTCCTTTGCCCAGAGCCCAGAAGACTGTGAGAGGCAGAGCTGGAATTTGGTTCTTAGGAGTCTTTTTCACCACCTTTTTCATGCACCATGCTGCCTGTCCACGTGCCAACATATTTCTTAAAAAATATGCCATAATGCTACCATTTTGGTAGTGCAATTAAAGTTTGCTTTTTTTAATTCTCTATTTCCCCTACTTTCAGCAGAATCTTGGGAAATTCTAAGACATTATCTCTTTCTTAACCCTTTTCCCCCATTTTCTAGGCAAAAAATATGAGAGGAAAGTTTGCTGGATAATGTCTAGCTTTATCTTGGTGATATGCATTTTCTCCATTGTTACCAAACTTACTCTGTTTCCATCTCAAAATACACTTTAGCACAGTTGGAGTATGCTAACAGTATTTTGCTTTCTTTTTATAATTATCTTAGGTGAATCTTCAAAACCTTCATATAAGGACATTTTCTAGTATCTCAAGCTTAGAATTACATGGAATATCAGAATTTAGTTAAAAAGTAACTGCCACATGTATGTCTGGGATCAGTACAATCCATCCCAGGAGCCTGGGTCTTCACTGGAAGGTGGGAATAGTGAGAATTTATCATTGCGATTTCCAGATGTTTATTAGACATGACCACTTGGATTACTTGTGGGTTCCTCAAACTCTATAGCCCAAAATGGTTCACAGAAGGATAAATTTATATGGGTAATAAAAATGGAAATAATGTTCTCCCTCACTAGTAATCAAAGCAGCATTATTTAAAAGAACGAAAAAGTTGGTTTTTATTGAAGTAACAGATTTTTAAAAATAATAATGCTCTGTGTTGGTGAGAGTGTGTTGAAATGAGCATTCAAATTTCTGGAAGAAAAATAAAAGCTTTTTGGAAAGCTGTTGGGCCTTAAAAAATGTGTCATGCTCTTTAACACAGTAATTCCCTGCCCAAAGAGATAGTATTATATGTAGGAAAAAATTGGATGTTTGAAGATATTAATTCCAGTATCATCTAAATAGCAAAAATGTCCACCAATTGGAGAATGATTTAATAATAGCATGGAATATTATGCCCCATTAAATATGGTGTTTCCTCATATCCTTACCTATTCTTTGATGTGTTTACAGTATGATACTAAGTGAGCTCCTGATCTTTACCTCACCCTCAAACCTGCTCCTCCTTTAGTTTTCTCCATCTTTCCAGGGGCTTGGGCCAGAAACCTTGGGGTCATCCTTGACCTCTCTCTTTCATATCCCACAACCATTCAGTTCCACCTTCAGCAGGATTTTCCCTACTTTCCAGGCCTCTTGTAAAGCATGAACTGAAAAGGCTTAAGGAGAAAGGAGAGCAACCTTGACTCCCCTTGAGTGGATACGGTTTTGGTTCTTGAATCAAGGCCCAGTTTTTCTCCTTGAATCTCTTTCCTAGAGCAGAAACCGATGGGCCAAAATGACCTCATTGAGAACATGACATCTAAAGTAGGGCAGCAGGATTCCGAGGTGTTACTGTGATGAATGGGAATATGTGGGGGAGAAAGGACGCACTGGTGGTAAGCCTACTTGTGAGAAATGTGCATTTTCAGTGAGCTACAAACATTGTATACCATGAAGGACCGTCACATTTAAAGGAAACTCTGAAACCAAGTGTGCAGAAGCCTCCACCATCTTAGCTGCTGGGCTGTTGCCCTTAGGAGAGGTGAGTAGGCTTTGCCACAGGTCAAGAGAGACTGCAGTAGACTGTTGTCTGGTGATCCCCACGAAGTTGAGTCGTAATACCAAAGGTTTGTCCAGATCACACATGTACCATAGGTAGAAAGGTTTGTGATAATTAGGTAAGCCCAGAGTGAGGGGTGGTTGAAGGGCTAATTTAACTCACAAAAGATTCCTAAGGAAGAAGTTTGCATACCGAGGACTTGGTTAAGTTGTAAGCATGATGATTTCAGAAGGGGCCAGCCCTGTGGCTGAGTGGTTGGGTTCCCGTGCTCCCCTTCGGCAGCCCAGGGTTTCGCCGGTTCGGGTCCTGGGCGCAGACGTGGCACCGCTCATCGGGCCATGCTGGGGCGGCGTCCTGCATGCCGCAGCTGGGGTGACCCATAGCTAAAAATGTGCAGCTGTGTACCAGGGGGCTTTGGGGAGAAGGAGGAAAAATAAGTCTTTAAAAAAAAAGCAAAAGAAAAGCTGGAAAGTTTTGAACGGTCTATGGTCTGTCAGAAGTAAAGGATTTCCCACCTTGGGATAAATCATGTCCTGGGTGATGAACTTTACTTTGACAAAATTCTAACTTCTCTTTGAAAACCTTCTGTCCTTTCTGAAAGAAAACAGTAGACAGCTGGACTCTGTCTTAGAGCTTACCTGTCTTTAGAACACAACAGAAGGTCATCCACAAGAATAATCATAGGGAAATTTAAAGTCGTTGAGGTTGTGGTTAAGGACTTAAGAAGAGTAGAAGGGGCCTCAGTAAATCTTCGGGGCATAACAGTCCAGGTATATTGTTAATTTTTCCCAGAAGAAGGAAAATAAATACTGACTATTTTGATCTAAAGGAACACTATAAAGAAAGCAGAACATATATCTACAACTGTAAAATATGCAGCCTCAGGAGGCACTAGAGATAAAAGAGTATTTGCTTCTGGTCAGGGAATGACTATATTCTATTTATGGCCTCAAGGTCCTGAGTAAATCTATATTTAGATGGGTGGGGACCCATTGGGTTTTTTGACTGGGAAGGTAGGGGTCTTACAAGGACTGTTCAAGGTGTGATGAGTCCTTTCTCTATTATGCTTTTGACTATTTGTGTTAGCCCACCTTTGGCTTTAAGAGGGTATTGTGCACGTTTTGGTAGAAATTTAGACAGGTCATTCTGAACCTTAATAGATTCAGCTCCAATAATCCCGCAAACAATGGAATGTTTGAAACTTTGTCTCCTTTTTGTTCTAAAGTGCCTCAATTTTGTTCATATTGAAGGCCCCTCAAACTGGCCACTATAGTTCTAAATTATCCTTGGTGAAATTGTGCCATCTAGAAAAATAAGTTCACAAATCGGGGTTATGGTAATGCATATAGTAATATAGTAAAATAGTAATATAGTAATGCATTATAGTAATGCGTGTAAGCAGCAGGAGTCTGGCCTGGAGGGGCACAGACTTAGGTTTAGACTGAGACGAACCCATAATTTGGGGAATAGTCAGTCCAAAGAGTCGCTTGTGGACCTGGGTCTCAGTCTACCTGCCAAACCTAATGCTTCGGCCTTCCAGCTATAAACCCCAACCAGATTTGTAGTTCCTGAGGACAGAAAAGTATGGAGAGATCTCTCCCAGAGCCAGACCCTCATGGACAAAGCAAGAAAAGCCTGAGGAAAGTTCTCATAGGGTTTTTTGTAATCGTCAAAAACTGGAAACAACCCTGATGTCCCTCAGTGGTTGAATGGATAAATTGTGGTACATCTATACTTGTACTCTTGTTTGGAATACTACTCAGCAATAAAAAAGAACTATGAATTCATATAACAACTTGGAGGGAACTTCAAAGGTGTCATGTCGAGGGAACCAGCCAATTTCAAAAGGTTACTGTATGATTCCATTTATATGACTTTCTTAAGATTACAGAATTATAGTGATGGAAAACAGACCTGTGGTTGCTAGGGGGTAGGGTTGGGGTGGGGGCGTGGCTGTAAGGGGGTAGCACAAGGGAGTTTCTTTGAGGTCACAGAATAGTTGTGTGTCCTAGTAGGGTGGTGATTCATGAATTGAGAGATGTGATGAAATTTCGTAGACTTTAAAAAAGAGTGCATGTAAAAACTGATGAAATTCAAATAAGGTCTGTAGCTTACCTAATAATGTACCAATGTCAATTTCCTGGCCTTAACAATCGTTATGTAAGATGTTATTGGGGAAGCTGGATGAGGATACATGGGAATTCTCTGTCCTATTTTGCAATTGTAAGTCTAAAATTATTTCAAAATAAAGATTACCAAAATGTGGAGGGGCACTGATTTCTGCAAGCAGCACTTCGGAATCTCTTCAGTTTTTACTAGAAAAGATAATATAAAACAAAGCCTCAAGAATTATAAACTTAATGCAGTTTCCAAGCATTGTAATTTCGTTTGCTATAATTTTGATTTGGAAATTATGCTCAGTTATTTTAACTACAGTATTATTACAAATATTTTTATATTCATACAAATATATTGTATACATGAAAAAAATCCCATGGAGAGTTTCCCCCAGGATGAAATAACTCCTAATCTCCTTTCAGAGCTCCTGGTGTATGGCTTCTGTCTGCCTTTTTAACCACATCTCCTTCTGCCCCCAAAATGCATTCTGAGGTGAACTATTTATAATCCCCACCTTCCTCCCCATCCATTCCTCTTTCCTGTTGCCTCTTATTTGCTTGATGAGCTTCTCCTTCAAGACCCAACTCAGACTCTGCTTCCACTGCAAAGCTTTGCCTGACCCAGGAATCAGAGTGGCTCCAACAGGACCATTCCTGCATCTAGAAGTTGTAGTGTAACATGTTGCCCTTTGGTTATTTTGTTCACTTGTCTGGCTCCCACCCTAGTCTCTGAATTCCTTGAGGGCCCACACTGGGTCCCATTCCTCCCCATAGGCTCCATGCCTGGCTCAGTGCCTGGAATACACCATAAATGGTGATAAGCAAATGAGTGAATCTGAGGTTCTGGAAAGTCCTTAGTAATAAATTTTGTTTATTCTACCCTGCCTTAATAGAGTAGTTTTCAACAAAACTGAAGATCAAAAGGGGTTCTGATTAACCACAGTTAAACGGAATGGTAAATTAATGTTTAAAACATTTCCCAAACATTCAACTTAGTTAAGACTTTACTATATTAAAATTTTTCCCATTCTTTCTTTTCATTCATGACACCTGTTGTAAGAAGCTTTAGGAAAACTGTGAGGTTGCACTCGTGAGCCTCCTTGGGCAGGGAAGATCTAGAACTTAAGGATAGGATGTGGATTCTGAAGGAGGACGAGGTAGGGTATCAAGATAAAGAACACAACCCTACATTAAATCTGTATATCGCTTCAGAATTTTCCTAAAAGAAATAAAGTGTTCTCCACCTTGCAAATGGTCACTCTCTAGTCCACCTGCCATGCTGCAGCAGAGCCTAAATGTTTGAGGACAGACTCTCCTGATTTCTCCCTCATCATCTTCATGGGCAAATGACCTAGGACTCCATAATTGTCTGCAGGTCGAGCTTCTGTCCTCATACTCCAGCAAAATGACTCAGAGTTTCATCATTTCTTCTTGCACAATCTAATGACCATTTCTCCACCCAAGGTCTGGTAACTTCGTTCAACAGGGCAGATCACCTTCTCCTTGAAACTGGTCCCTCCCCTGGCTCCTGAGACACCACCTTCCTCCCCTACCTCCTCTCTTGATGACATCCCCTAAGATTTCATCATTGTTTTTATGTTCATTTTTAAAAATAAATGTAATAATGTTTCATGTTCCAAATTTCCTGTTTTCTCTTCAATGCTTTCTGACATCTTGTCATCTTTAAAGGCCCAAAATAGATGCCACCTTCCCTAAGAAACCATGTAACTACTGAGCCCCTACTCGTCCTTTTTATCCTCTCCTGGAGCACCTAAAAGCCAAGTGTACTTTCACTATTTAGTACTTCACATATTCTGGTTTGTGGGATCCCCTGTTGTTTTATGAATTACTCTTATTTCTTCAACCAAACAGAGGCTCCTTAAGGACAAGACCCATGCTTTAAAATGATCCCATGTCCTTGTGGTGCCTCATGGAGTGTTTAGCACATTGTGTCAGTGGTCAAGAAACACTTGCTGGTTGAGATTAAGGCAGTGTTACAGTACCTTGGAAAGAGAAATATAAAGAAGAAAACCTTTGAAATTTCCTTTCCCTTCACCTAATGCTGTACTATATACATGAAAAAAAAATCCCTTGGAGAGTTTGCCCCAGGATAAAATAACTCCTAACCTCCTTACAGAGCTCCTGGTGTATGGCTTCTGTCTACCTTTGTCTTTTTCTTTTTTTTTTTTTTTGAGGAAGATTCACCCTGAGCTAACATCTGCCACCAACCCTCCTCTTTTTGCTGAGGAAGACTGGCCCTAAGCTAACATCCGTGCCCATCTTCCTCCACTTTATATGTGGGATGCCTACCACAGCATGGCTTGCCAGGTGGTGCCATGTCCGCACCCGAGATCCAAACTGGCGAACCCTGGGCTGCCGAAGCAGAATGTGCAGACTTAACCGCTGCGCCAACAGGCTGGCCCCATGTATACCTTTTTAACCACATCTTCTGCCCCCAACATGCATTCTGGGGTGAACTATTTGTAATCCTCACCCTGCTCCCAGGGGCCTAAATCAGAGCAAGTCATCATGCGCTGGAGCTGTGCAAAATCAAACCACTCTTCCTGCCACAGTGTGGTGGTGGGGAAGGGGCATGGGATAGCATAGATTTCTCAGCCCCCAAAGGCAGGGTGATGATGAACCTCTAGTTTCCACAGACAGGGTCCCTCATTAACCTCACAACAACCCCATGCTCAGTAACATCATCATTCTGATTCTTCAGACGTGAAAACTGAGGCTTGGATACCTCACACTGCTTGCTCAAAGTCTCACAGGCAGTAAGCGCAGCCAGCCACATCATCTGCCATTAAACCTCGCTCCACCACACTGCACAGCTTCCAGGAGTCTGCTGCTGGTAGCCTTGGTTGATGGGTGGCTTCCATCATGGAAGTTTGTTGACTTACAAAGTAGATGTTTGAGGAACTTAAAGATCTCCAGTGGAGAACCTTTAGAAAGAAAGGTTTACCTTCCTATCTGCCCACCCAGATGGACCCTACTTAAAATGGATTAATTTTAGCAAGTGAGGGGTTCTGTTTACTCCCCTCCTGGGTTTCTGTTAACCCTTTGACTTATGGTCAGATAGAGCAATCTGGCCAGAACTCCCCAAGGAGCTCCTTCCTTGGACAGCAGCTGCAAAGGGTATGGCAGCATCATCCACCTCAGAAAGCCTCTTAAAGAGTTCAGATCATTGTTCAGCAGGACCTGTTCAGGACCCCAGTGGCTGGGACCTCAGCAGGGCTCAGGATCTTAGGGAAGAGCTACATGACTTAAAAGTGCTGTGAGAGGGGCTGGCCCGGTGGCGCAGCGGTTAAGAGCACACGTTCTGCTTTGGCGGCCCAGGGTTCGCCAGTTCAGATCCCGGGTGCAGACAGGGCACTGCTTGGCAAGCCATTCTGTGGTAGGTGTCCCACATATAAAGTAGAGGAAGATGGGCATGGATGTTAGCTCAGGGCCAGTCTTCCTCAGCAAAAAGAGGAGGATTGGCAGCAGATGTTAGCTCAGGGCTAATCTTCCTTAAACAAAAAAGTGTTATTCTTCCTTAAAAGAAAAAAAGTGTTGTGAGAACAGAATTCTGGAGAAGAAGCTCCAGTCCCTACCTGAACCTACACCATCCAGATCCTTGTCCTGGATCTGTTGGAGTGAGCACGTGCTGGTTCCCTGCCAGCCCCAGAACCACTCCACCTGCCCCGTCTCTACCTTTGACTGATTCATCTTTGAGAGGCTGAGCCTCCCTGTGAGGCAGGTGCTTGCTCAGTCATGAGAAGAAGGTGATTGGCTGGGGCTGCCAGGGCTTTGTGACCCGCCAGCAGGACTCCTCCAGTCCCTCACAATCCTTCATCCCTGCCTGCAAATATTGCCTCATGCAACCCCAGAATAACCTGGATGTGTGACGCAAGGGGTCAAGGGGTAGCAATTTTGCAGATTTTCCAAACAGGTGACTTCAGCCCCCCTGGGCCTGGGCAGGAAGGGGTAGCCCAGTGACAATGGGCATAGCCCCACGTCAGGAGCGGGAACGCTTTGGCAGGCTCGGCAGAGTTCTCGCTCCTCTGATCTCTCAGCATCTGCTCCAGTTTTCCTGGCCGGTAGGATGGCATCTGCAAAGCAGAATACAGTCATGTGTCGCTTAATGACGGAGATACATTCTGAGAAATGCAGCACTAGGTGATTTTGTCATTGTGTGTACGTCACAGAGTGCACTGACACAAACCTAGATGGTATAGCCTACTAGACACCTAGGCTGTATGGAACTAATCTTATGGAACCACCATCGTGTATGCGGTCTGTTGTTGACTGAAACGTCGTTATGCGGCGCATGACTGTACATGGGAATTCTGGAGGTGGGGAGGGATCGTGGGTAGAGGCTCAGCTTCAGAAAGCCCAGATGGCTGTCCCCAGGCAGAATGGGCAAGGAAAGCACAGTTGTGTAGTCTGTCTCCCTCCTGCACTGGCATCTAGACCTGAAGCTGGATGTGTGTTGGGCACCTCTTCTCAAACAAGTGCCCTTTGAATCTCGGTATCTCCCCCCGGTAATGCTGACAACACTTACCAGATACTTACTGTGTGCCAGGCTCTGCTCAGCACTTTGTGTACATGCTCACTTAATCCTCCTAACAGCTCTGTGAGATGGGGACTGCTACTGTTCCCGTTTTATAGATGAGGAAACTGAGGCCCAAAGTCAAACAGCTGGGAAATTTAGAACCAGGATTCAAACCCAAGGGGTCTGACTGGAGATCCGTAGTCTTAAAGCAGCACTGTTTTGGAGCCTGCTGGAGGCATATCCAACACCCACCGCAGGCCCGAAAGACCTGGTATGTCTTTCGTAGCCATGCTGGGCAGAGGGCAGAGGCCTGGGAACTGCAGGGGCTTCTTCTAGGCACCAGAGAATTAGAGAAGACTGAGGGCCCCTGAGGTATCTTCAAGACACGTATATATGGAAGATAGACTGCCACTGAAGACTTAAAAACCAAAAGCCAAAATCAGATTTAGGCTGATGATAAGGTTCTTAAATATTAAAATGTGAGATTTCAGAGTTATGCAGACTTATTTAAGATTTAGGAATATAAATGCCTAGATCTAAGTGCAGTCCTAGGTAACTGGGAAGGAACTGGATGGTCTCTAGAAACTCTTCTGACTGTAGGATGTTGAGAGTTGGTCATGATGCCCATTTTCAAGGCCTCAGGCCACAGCCTGGCCCTCAGCCCCACCTCTCCTGATGAGAGCTGTAAATGCCTTTCCCGTTACCAGTGAATTCACTGTGAATCTTAGGGTCCTAACTTAGGAAACGATTTAGCAAAATCACCAGATTAAACCTCCTCTACTTTTCTTTCCCACAACTTCAGACCTGGTAGCAGGAGTCAAGACCCTGCAGAGCAGGCTTTTCCCAAGGCCATGTCCTCAGTCTGATCCTCGTATAGGGGTTCCAGCTGACCTGGAGGGTGGCATGCCACAACCCAATCAGGGGCTGTTTCTCCTGACAGTTACCAGGTGCCAAAGATGATGGTAGAAGCATGGGGACTGGGTTGGGAGATCCCACTATTGTAGCCCTTCGAACAGAGCCTGCCCTTCTGAGTGGTTGCCTACCATTCTCTCAGGAGAGGAAGCAGCTCTTAGTTAACAGGTGTGTTAATTTTAAGAGTTTTCTCAGACTCTGTCTCTGCTGTAATTGGAGGCAACTGGTCCACTGAGGGCCAGATGCTTGGGCAAATGCTTTGTATACCCCTGCCCCTGGAAGCTGATCTGGCTTGAGTCTAGGCCTGAGTTAACCCCCAATACAAAGGCTCATCAGAAGTTGGACCTGTTGATGAGTTTAACTCATGGCTTTGGGAAATAGGGAGCTCAGAATCTTAGAGCAGACGCAATGCTCCAGGCCACTCCAGCTGGTCCAGCTGTTAGAGGACATCTTGGTTAGAGATAAGCACTCCACTCAACCCCCTGCCCTGACATCACCGGCTTTTGACCAAACTAGGCTTCCTTTCTGGGGTACTAGATCAAAGTTTGGGGCTCTCCTTTTCTAAATTGAGCTGGGGAGGGAATTTGGGAATGGGGCAACATTTAAAGGAGTCTTTGCTCAGGACCTGGTGCCACCTGCTGGCCATAATTTAGTTGTATTTACAGGGCCAAATCTGGAAGAGGAAAATTAAAAGAAGGGCATCCTGCCCTCCCATCATGATAAGGGAACTAGGAGGCTGGTTTCTTTGTGACCCTCCAGCAAGTGTGGCAGAGAATCCTTGCAGAGACCCTGGTGCCTTGGATGAGTCCTCCTGGGCCAAAACGGACTGCAGCTGAGGCAGAGAGTAGTATCACCTGAAGAACCTGAGCCAGGCTTGCGTGGAGACAAGGGCTCTGTCCCTAGTATCAGATGGGGACTGTGGTTCTAATTCCTGACCAGAAGCCCCTGCAGTATTTTTTTTTTAAGAAAGAGTGGTCCTAAGCTAACATCTCATGCCAGTCTTCCTCTTTTTCTTTTCTCCCCAAAGCCCCAGTACATAATTATATATCCTAGTTGTAGGTCCTTCTAGTACTTCTGTGTGGGATGCCGCCACAGCATGGCTTGATGAGCAGTGCGTAGGTCCATGCCCAGGATCCAAACCCACGAACCCAGACCGCTGAAGTGGAGCGTGTGAACTTAACCACTCAGCCACAGGGCTGGCCCCTGCAGTATTTCTTAAAACTACATATGGGTGTATATAAGTGTGTGCATAATTATATATAATATACTATATATATTCTACATAGTGCATTGTGTATTATATAGAGTGTATTATATACATAGCTTTACACACATATACACACTCACATGCGCTTGGGCTTCACTTCAGCCTATTGGAAGGTCTCTGCAGGAGGGTCTGATGCGCTCTCCTAGTAAAGAACCTCTGGAGTGCACTGTGCAGGCCTGAACCTTCAGCCCCTCTGGTCCTCTGGAACCACAGGAAGGCTGCCCTCAGGCTGGAAGGCCCTTGAAGCTCAAATGATTTCAGTAAAAAACTAGAGGACTGGTTTAGACTAGGACCTGTGCCTCTGCTTTTCTTCAATAATCGTCTCCTGAAACTCATGCACAGTAAACGGAAGAAAAATCCCTAAAGTGACTCAGGAACTCCCAGAGCCAACCTAAGACCATCCTACGCTTCCCAGAACCAGCCCAGACCCTCTGAGGCCTAGCAGACCACAGCACTACAGCCAGCCTGGAATGACCCTGCTCAAGGGCATAGAGTCAGAGGGCCCCACGACCTCAGGGAGAAATGGGTGCCTGAGCCTGTGGAAGGCCAGTGACTAGAATAGCTTGTCCCCTCTGTTCTCAGCTCCCTGCAGGCCCCTGCAGACCCTCAGAGGCCACTGGGGGCCAGATTGGGGCCATTCGAATCCATAACTCTGCTCTCTCTCCTTCCTGACTGCCTGCAGCACTTATTGTTTTCATCACACTTTGGGGCATTTGGTTATACTTTTCTCCTGTGTGTTTGTCTCCCCAATAAGACTGTAAACTCCTCGGGCCAGCCCCAGTGGCCTAGTGGTTAAGTTCAGCGTGCTCCGCTTCCGTGGCCTGGGTTCGGTTCCTGGGTGTGGACCTACACCACTCATCTGTCAGTGACCATGCTATGGTGGTGGATCTTCCTAAGCAAAAAAAAAAAAAAAAAACTATAAACTCCTTGAGGACAGGGGCAAATCTTTATGTTTCTCATAGTCTCTAAAAAAATAAATACTCATCAAAATGCAGTGCACTTTCCTTGACCCTACCCATTCTGCCTCTTTATCAAGTTTGGTGTCCATCCACTCCCATCCACTCCTACTGATGACACATTAGGTGAGCTCCCTGGAAACTCAGAGGCACTCTTCTAACTCCAGTCTCTCCAGTCACTGAGAATTGGTCTGGAACCAAATGTGACTGAAACATAGCCTGGCCACTGAGGAGCTTACAGTCAGGTGGAAGGGGCAGACACATAAGTGATTTCAAGAGAATGTAATAAATGCCATGATTGAGTCTGCTCAGGGTGCTATAGAAACACAGAGGAGGAGCATGTTTCCCTGCACAAGGGTTCAGAGAAAGTTTCCCAGAGGAGATGATGCTAAAGCTGAGTCCTCAAGGTTGAGTGAGGTGGAGGAGTCCAGGCCAGAAGGTGATGAAAGATGATTCAGAAAGAGGAGAGGACGTGAGGAAGCGTCACTCTGTCGTTCAACAAATTTGCTGAATAGCTTGCCTGTGACAGGCCTGGAAACACCACTTCTGGCTTCGCGGCACTTTCTGACAAAGGGGGCAGGCATTGAAACAAGTCCAGTGGCCAGTACAAGGGTCAGGTGACAAGGCAGAGGGCTCAAAGCCATTATGTAAGAGGAGCCTCAAGTGCAGTCCAAATTGCCCTCAGAAATCTGTGGAATTGCCAGCTCCTGAGTCCTTAGAAGCTCCCAAGACAATAATTTTTGTTTCTCTTGGTTTTTTGGCCGGGCTAGCCTCCCTTTCCCTGGGCAATGAAGGACCAGGTCTATTTTTAAAGGAGGAAGGACTAGGAATAAAAGGATTTCTGTCTCGATTTTTCTCAAAATCTTCATTGAAGTTAGACATTCATCCAATGAGGTTCCATTATATATACTGGGGTGGGGGTGTCGGAGAGCACAGCCAAGCAGTGCCAACTGAGAATTCTCTTTAAAGCAGCTTCTCCAACTTTACTGTGCCTGCGGATCCTCTGGGCATCTTGGTCAAGCACATTCTCTGACTCAGTAGATCTGGGGTG